ATGTATATTTTAAATAATTATAAATAGAACGACACCCAGAAATTAGCTGTTGCCATTTTCTCAATAGATATTTTGTCTAATAACAATTAAATAATTTACAAGCATGCTTACACGTAAGAGCCATATCATTCAAGCATCCCAATTGTTGTCAGTACACATTTCAGTTGGTTGTTTGGTTGGTTGGTAGAAGCTCGAAGAACATGGAAAATTTAAAATCCTGCCCTAGTGAAAGTATGACCTTCGTCTGATCGATGTCTCCTTTTGATATCATTTAATGTAAATCATCGCATTGAAACCTTTGAACCATTTGCATACAAAGTTATTATAAACAATCCATTTCTCATGACCAGTTATCAGTTGTTCCAAAAAAGGGGAATTTTCCTTGCCTTCAATAAACACATTGCAGATGTTTATGCATATTGTCAAATGAAGCTTGTGAGGAACCCAAATACTGAACTCTATTATGCATCCCAGCTTCTTCAGGGGTCGTGAGTGCATGAATGCTCAATGTTTCCAGAATTTTTCATGCTAAGTAATGTAGGTTTGGCTCAGTTAATGCCTTTATTTTGTTGTCATTCAACTCGACTTGCCTGCTTGACTGAGAAGCTTTGTTCAAAATCCACAGCACACAATTTCAAGAAAATTATTATTGGTACTGACATTCTCGTATAGCAGTCTCATGGTAAACTTTATATAGCTTTCATAATCTTGATGTGTGTTCTTTCTTGTATGGAAGTAAAACAGTAAAAATGTGAAATACATAATTTGGTGTGTTTCATCTTCAGTTTGTTGTGAAACCTGTAAAACTTGAGCAGTTGCTGTTATTTATAAGAATGAAGCCAGAACTTTCAGCCTCCAAATGACATATTAATAACGTAGATGCAAATGACTCCTGTACTTCCAGAAATAAATTAGCACAATTTGTTGCATAAATGTGCTATGTCGTATTTGACAACACAGTGTCAACTACAGTTCTGTCTATTTGAAAATTTAGAAGATGTAACAATAAGTATCAACCCATCAAAATGACATATTTTCCCCTTTTGGAAAAAAAATCATTAATAGTTCTAGTATTAAGTTATTGATGGCTGTGTATTGCAGAATCGAATGAATGAATCACAGATAGGATTTTGACTGAATAAGATATAAAGTTACGAGATTTATTAAGTTAAGATCTTATTGTATAGCCCTTTTTCTATGTGCATGTTTGTTGCAATCTTGAATGAATCATAATAATATAATTTATTGTTTTTGTTGAAATTCATCAGCTGTAAATGTGTTTAGTCACAAATGTGTTTAGCTGGAAATAAATCTAAGTGCACAAATATTGTTAATATATAAAATTTTAAAGCTATGTAGGTTTGATTTGAAGTAATGTAGCAAACATGCTCTTTATGCTAAGCATGGAATATAACTAAATATCCAAATAGAAGAAAAAGTACATACATTGTGATTTTTGGTAAGGGCAAAAGTATTTTTACCGGGTTATTCATAATTTCCTCTGGGGTTTCAGAAAAGCTATAGTAAAAAACTAAGACTTAACTAAGATGAATATAGCAAAAAAGAACATTGCACAACATATAGAAACAATTCAAGTTTTATTTGTGGCCCTTAGAGGTGTACTATGTGTGAACCCATGGTCACATGGTATAACATCAATGCGATAGTCCAGCTCCTGCCAGACTGTATTCATCATTGTACTATCAATGGTATGGACATCCCATGTGATCCTTTCATGCAATTCTGCTAAATCATGCCATGCCTCAAAGCGGGCATGAAAACAAGGTCTTTTACATAGTCCCACAAGAAAAAATTACATGATGGTAAATTTGGTGAGTGTGGGTGCCATGGCAAAAGAGGTAAGTCATCTTCAGAAGCTCGCCCAAACAAATGAGTTAATTGTGTGTTAAGGTATTCACATACATCCCACAGAAAGTGGGATAGAATGCCATCTTGTTGAAGAATTAGGTTGTCCTCCTCATGTTCATGTAATTGCAGCATTAACCTCAATTGTAGCTTATCCATGTACACTACACCAGTATGTAAAAAAAAAATTGCCCATACACATGTGAGCAGGAGCTAGCACAGAACACATTAATTTTCATTGAATCACAACAGTGTTCCACTACTGTATTAGGATTTTCAGTGCCTCAAATGTGTAAGTTATAGCGGTTTACCTTGCTGGACAAGTGAAAGGTGAATTTGTCACTAAAAATCATTTTCTGCTGTTGTGAATCATTGGCTTGGTGTAAAAGTTCATATGAGAAATGCAGCCCCTCCCGGAAGTCAGCACTTGTACCATTTGCAATTGATATGGCTTCATATGCAGAGTTTTGCATACCAATTACCACACTGTTGGTTGTGAAATCCCAATTCATGGCTTGCACAAGCGATTGATTTTGTGGGGCTCCTCAAAAATGTTTCCCATACATCACTTATGGTTTCTGCAGATGGACCCAACCGAGCACTTCATTGCTTATCATACACACACATTGAATTCCTTAGACCTTGTTGCATCACACATGAATCGTCTTGTCAGTGGGTCCATGTGCTCGATATTTTGTACGAAATGCCCGCTGCACCAACACTACTGATTACAATTTAGCAAATTCTAACACACAAAAAGCTTTTTGTTCACACATGAACACCATTTTGATTCACTTACTGCTTTCACTCAACTGTGTGCTGCCATGTACTACCAACAGTTATTATTAAAAACTTGATTTGTTTCTTTTGCTGCATTCATCTTGGGATTTTACTGTAGCATTTTGGAACTGCAGCGGAAATTACGAATAACTGGGTATTGTTATTAAGTATTTTGTAGCTTTTGGTACTGAAAATTTTAAGTTTTGATAGTTGTTTTTTAAAAAAATGTGCTGTATAAAATATAGCCATATTAAACTTGTTGCTTCATTAACAGCTGCTTTCAAAAGGTATTGCAACTTACCATATCTATACAACAGAACTTTTTGATTTGATGAGTAGTACATAAGGTTTGGAAATAAGGTGCGCATGAAGTAATCTTTCAGTGATAAGTTAAGGTTTATTCCTTAAACCTTGAAGCTTATGATTAAATCAGCTGTACACTATTTACAGTATACTACATACAGGCATTTATTTTTCGTATTTACTTTACAGTTTAGCTTAACTACCTCAATGCAGTTTGACATTATACTGAAGGAAAATAATGATAATATATAATTGTAAAAAAATTATTTATTCTTTCATCCATATTATCAAATACATATTTTGCATTTTAATTAGTTTTTATCTGAAAAATCAATCTAAAAAACCCAATGTAATAGCTAGAAGACATCAGTATATTTTTGGAGGGGGTATTTCTCCCTTTAAACATATCATATAATGCACCTTTGAAACAGAAAGACTGAGGGATGTTTATTGTACTGTAGCAAAGTTCAGTATGCTTTCTAAGGAGAGGGATGAAATTGTGAAAGACTAAAGTTATGTATTAAGGCCATAAAAAAATGGGAACTGCCTTAAATTCACATTGCAAAAAGGTCACCCATTCATATTCACATCATGTGAATACAGCATTACAAACCCTACATTATACATGAGGTAAAATCATAGAAGGCAACCTCATGTTCCAATGTGTGCTTTCTTCATCCCAAACATTGTTTGGGATTTAACAGCAACTTCAAACTACCTGTATCCAGCCATCTTATCCATTCATTTATTGGTGAGGTGAAAAATCACGAGATGTCAAATTATGATAAGAAACTGAACTGTGGAGAGAATTGTTCTTACATTGGACTGAATTGTCAAAGAAATTGTTGGGAGACTTCAATAGTTTCATGTTCTTGCTATGCCTTCCTGACTGCATCAAAAAGATTTTGAATGGAAAATATAAATTATGAGCTTAATGTCATAATTCTTACTGAGAGAGTTTTATTTCTGTTACAGCTTGGGGAAATGAAACTGTGACATGGAAAGACAATCATTTTGAAAGTTTTCAGGCAAATGCAAAATATTTCCAAAGTAAAATTCCAAATATTTTAATTCCTCTTTGAATTTTCCTCACAATTGCTTTAAGTGTTACATGTGAGAGGAGTTTTTCTAAATACAAATTGGTTAAGAAGCATCTAAGACCTAAAGTGGGTATCTTGTAGGAGAAGAACAATTGAAATAATGAAACAATCTTCCAATATGTCTTCAATAACCTTGCTTATGAAAAACAAGCAAAATAAGATTTTAAAATGTTAGAATTAAAATAGTATTAAAAAAATAATACATAGCATTTATTTATTTCCATATGTCGCTCTAACATTTTATAGATTTTTTTTTTTTTTTTTTTTTGTGTGTGTGTGTGTGTGCATTAAGAGGGGTAGCAAATGTTTAGGGAAGTCACTGATGCCTGCAAGCAGGCCTTTGCTTTTGGTTCTGGTAGAAATTTATTCTGATCTGTTTAGGAATAAATTAAGAGCGTTTAGCAAGTTTGCAGCAACATGTTACCACATTTTCTTTCATTGCGCTCAAGTCTCACAAGTGCTTTTTTTCAAAATCGAGTTGAAAATAAAAATAAAAAAAAAATTGCCTAGTAAAATTTAAAGCTTTGAATACAAAATGAAAACTGTATTTGGATTTGGTAATTTTCCTTGTTAAAACTGAAGAATTATTTTGTGTGTGGTTGCAAAGTATGGCACATTTCAAAACTTCGTTGCCTTCTGTTAAGGTGGTTGTATTAATAACATATGTACTATATACATATAGTCATGTACAATTTTGATTTTGATTTCTCAAGTTTTTCCTGTGTTAAATTTCTTTCCCTGTAATTTTGTAAAATTTTCATGTATCTTTAGCATGGAATTTTTTACAATATGCTTGACTGAATTTGTATCAAAAATCCACAATTTTTAGTTAAAAAAATGTAGTTGTTAATAAGAAAACTTATGAACATTACTAATGTTATGACATTTGCTTTTGCTGAGCCTACAGTTGGACAACTTCATAATTCTTTTCGGTAATATTGCTTTTAATTCTTCTTTCAAAGGGTTAATGGAGAAAGCTGTCTTTTATGCTGAGTATCAGAGTATAAATTACAGTGGTCATTCAGGTAAGCATTCAGCTATGCACAATTTTTTAAGCATACTAAAATGAATTTCTAAGTTATGTGAAAAATAAACGATGCCTTTTTGAAATGGATGAAACCTATTTTGTGTTTTAATAGATCTCTGTTCTCATTCTAGCTAACTAAAAACAAATTTTGTAATACCTCACTGCATAATACCCCAGCCACCCATTACTATTCCAGTTAAGCTCCTTTTTAATGGAAATATCAGATGATAATTTTTATGAACATAACAGCATGCATGGTTATTTTAGTGTGATAAATGATCTCCCTGGAAAGCATAGCCTCAGGGCTGGTAGTTCATACATGCTAGGCTATGAAAAAAATTGACCCTCAATCTTCATTATTATTTTGAAAAAAGTTACAGTTTTAAGCATGTTTTTAGTAAATATGTGTGGTTATTTTAGTATATACGTACTGAAAATTCCATATGCATTGTATCAGGCAATAATATTAAATGAAAATTTCACCTGACATGCTATATTTTAGGACTGTATAAGTGGAATTAAACAACTGTCTATGTTCTCATGAGAAGGGGTGCTGTATTAAATTATTGTTACAGTCAAAAGTCGTTAATTTGGACACCCATAATTCGGAATGATCTAATCGACCTCAAGCTAAAAACTTCGGATGCGCGCGTTTTTGGAACATGCGCGTCGCTTTACGCGTGCGGTAAGACCTCTTCGACTGCGCATTTGCGTGTGCGCAACGCAGAATACGTTTTCGCTTACGCGTTTATGTATAACGGACGGTATAGAGCAAAATATCTAATATATATTCAGTAAGTTGATGATGCGTTGTTCCTTAATTTTGGAATGGGTCCGGCGTATTTTTTCCGACGGTAAGAGCAATGCGATAAAAGTAAGCTTTGACTTTCGAATAGTCAAGGAATTTCTGTTCCTGAGAAAGAAAGAATACAAAAGTTTTTCGATGTCGATCAGCAAAAAGGGATTGCTTGCAAAAGTGGATTAGACATGAAGAATGCGACAGAGAATGTATGAAATGAAAAAAAGGATTGGAGTTAGGTGGATCCTCTCGGCACAGCAATTAACGGGACTTGACGCTGGGCTTTGTAACTGAACAGAAAGGGGGTCTGTTTATAATTCAAGAGAAAGGTATCAAAACTTAAGCATTAACAACTGAAGGTGAAGAAAGGAATAAGAACGGAAAGCAAAATATTAATTTTTTGGGGTACATTTTTTGAGTACCCTTGATCTACTTGCTCTTGTATTTCAAACTAGTTTTCGGTATTTTTAAGGAATTTTCGAATTTCTTCCATGCCATGCCAGGCATTTAAACTGTATCTAGTATCGGAAAAATGCGATAATCCGGAAAGCCGAGGGTTCCCGACTAGTCCGGATTACGGGAAAGGAACTGTAAATAAGACATGGGAAGGATGGGGATGAAAATTGGTGTTTGGAAGGTTTATTGGTTTTGGTGATGTAGACCAATTTTTTTATCTCCAAGGGCATACTGATATTGATGGTTTGTACCCTATTTGTATTTCGTTATAAAATATAGTGATGAGAGTGTGAAAGAAGAAATTGTCCACATGAAGGCTAAATTAAAAAATTAACTTGAACTTTCGATAGGTCAATAGAATTTCTGATTCTGAGCTCCCAAAGGATCATACAAAACGAAAGTAATTTCGATTCCATCAAGCAAAAAGTGGAATTGCTGCAAAAAATGGATAAAGACATGAAGAATGCGACAGAGAGAGAGGTTAGTGTGAAAATGAAAAAATTTCGATTGACAAGTTATCGGTATTCTCGGCACAGCAATTAACGGGACTTGAACAGCGGAACTTTGTAACTGAACAAAAAAATTATGTCTGTTTATAGAATTAAGAGAAAGAAAGTATTATCACATAAAATGAAGCAACTTAAACAACTTACATTGAAAGAAATGTTTAATAAAGTAAACAAATAAATTATTAAGCTTTTTTTTTTTGTAAATTTTGATACCCTTTAGATCATAATTGCTCTTTATTTCATAAACTACGGTTTCATATTTTTAATTTTAGAATTTCTGCATGCCATCTTACGCGATTTAAACTGATAATCTATAATCCGGAAAATTCGATAATCCGGAATCGCCGAAGTCCCGACGAGTCCGGATTAACGGCTTTTGACTGTATAATGAAATGGAAGATAGGCTTATGGAAAATTGGTTTGGAATTTTTTATTGGTTATTGTATTAGAACAATTTGTTATCTCAAAGGTCATACTGATATGAGTTGACCATATTTTGTATTTCAGTTTAAATATAAGTGATGAATGGAAAAGAAAGAAATTGTCACATGAATCTAAAATTAAAAAAATTAAAAAACATAAATGGGGACATCTATATTTTGGGCTAAAAATGTAATTACAGTCAAATGGGCGAACAAATAAACAGAGGATGGAAATTGATTGGTTTTTACTTTCTTCATTGGGGGTGCAGTATTAGAAAGCAATCATTTCAACGAGTCACCTGATTTCATACCAGCACAATGAACAATACTAAGTGAGTAATTGAAATTAAGAAATAATATATACTAATTTTAATTAAATTTTTTTTGGAAAGTTTAACCCCTTCACGCCGGCTGTCACATCTACATGCCAGCAACGAACACACTCACTTCCCGCCGGACACGCAGGCGTGCCAGAGTGTTTCCCTTTCAGCCCCGACCGTCACGTATTTGTGCCAGTGTCCTGGAACATTTTAAAAACTATAATTTCTGCCACAAGATGTCACTGGATGTCCATTTGGTTTCAGATACATGTACATTAGACCTTCTACTCGAAATGAGAGAAGCATGACTCACATACATGTGTTTTTGATTATATAAACAAAAGGGGAAATAAATGTTTCCGAATGGCGTGATTTATGACGTCTCTTTAAATTCTCACGTGGTAGTTGTTTGTAAGTAGAGAAGTTTTATTTTCGCTAAAGCGTTGGGTATTTCGTTTTGCAGTTCAGTTTTTAGATAATAATTAGATCTTGTTAGACGTGAATTCTTTCTGTTTTTACCGTTGCAATGTCGAAGCGTCGAAAATGTTTAACAGGGCATTAAATAGCAGAAATGATGCAAAATATTAACTAATCGCTCAGATTAACTGAAAGACATCCAAAACTTTGCAACAGTTTTATATATCTTGGCCAGATTTGTTATATGCGAGTCAAACTATGTTTTATTTTTTATAACAAGTAGAAAATTTTCCTGAGGCCTGGTGGTGCAGTGGCTAGCGCATCGCGCAGCAGCACCACAGGTCCGGAGTTCTAGTCCTGAGCTGGGTAAGGTTGACTCAGCCTTTCATCCCTTAATTTCCATCACTTGGGTCGATAAAATGAGTACCAAGTTCGCTTGGGGACTAAGTACTGGGGGTCGTGTGACCAAGCTGACCGCTTGTTCAGGGCATATGCTTACACACCCCGGGGCCCACGGTGAAGAAAGCAGATTTTGGGCACTGCAGGCCTTGGCGCATTAGAGCTGTTATGCACCAGAGTTTAGTTTTTTTTAGTTTTAGAAAATTTTTCTTAACTGTAAGTATTCCGATCAGAGGGAAAGTTAATTTCATATTTTACACAAGATTATTTTTTATTATTTAAAAATATAAAAACATGAATCTTTGCACCATTTTAAATGTTTTTGTTAACTGGAAGTATATTTCTACGACTAATAGTTGCGAACATAAGGCAGGGTACGTACTTTTGTGGTCACTATGTATATAAATTGGTGGATTAATTACAGCTATTTCAGTGAAGAACTTGTTTGTCTTGTTGCTAGTATTGTGTAGTTTGGGGCATATAATGTGCAGATGAATAATAATAAATACCTTCTTTTGGGGGGAAAAATCTGAAATTTTGTATGCAAATAATTAAATTTCCAGCACTATTTTTGCGTTAACTTCAGTCATAGCACACATTTCTACTGCAGTATGGATGCGCTAGGGGTTGTTGCTCATACTCAACAGTAGGTTGCCACCTGCACCGTATGGACACATTTGTGAAAAAGTGCTGCAACAAATTCATTGGCAGAATTTTCCAAAACTTTGCTCAAAAGAGACTGATAAGAAAATGAGACGACGATGCTTCGTTTGTTCACATTCCCGGAAAAATCCTCCAAAACGTTAAATTATTATGAGTGCAAGAAATGTAACGTAGGACTGTATGTAGATCCCTGTTTTCAAATTTTTCATATGAAAAGAGAATTTTAAGTAATATATTTAGTCTTCAGATGTATAATGTTAAAAGTCATAAAATGGTGAGTAATGAAAATAAAATGTGTAAAATATGCATTTAAACAAGAAATAAGGTAATTAAAGTATATATAAAAATATCTATAAAGCATAAGCCGTTTAAATACTCTATAGAGCATTATTAAACAATGCGTTGATACTTTGGAAATTTCATGGATTTAATCTTAATAGCAAAAAAGACCCCGGCCCTGGACAGACACTCGCGTAAAAAACTGCCGTCCTCCGCGGTAAGCACGTGTTTGCGCTACCCGGCGCAAAGGGGTTAAAAAAATATTCATTGAATGTCTGCCTCCTACTTGGAAAATTCTATATAACATTCGCAAAATGACTTAAAGTACTCTCTTTGGAATACGCATATTTAATTTATTTATTAATTTAGTTTTGAATAATTTAGGTCAGCTTCCATTTGGTAAGTGAGAAAATTACCGTACTGAAGAAAATTGTTTTATTACATATTATTCAACACTGTGTCCACAAAAGTTCTTATTGGGCTTTTATTTTCAGAGCCATTGGTAGTAGACATACACTTCCGATTAAAAAAAAAGTGTGTAAATGATGCAAAGATACATGTTTCTGTAATTTAAAAATGTAAATTTTTATATAAAATTTGAAATTCACATTTTTATGTGCTTCTTTGGTCTCTCTACTTACAATTAGAAAATCTTTGTACATGTTTTAAAAAATAAAACACAAAATATTTGTCTCACATATGGGAAAAATTGACCAAGATATTTAACTGCAAAA